ACTAACCAATTGACGGATGCTCAATGGTTGCTTTGAATTCTTTTGTTTCCCATCCCTGGATCCCTGAGCCTTCATATCAACACAAAGCAACGCCTGGGTAATGTCTGTTTTCAGGGGTCAGTGTCCATGCTGTGGTACTGGGTAGGGACTTTGAACGGAGTCTTGAATGTCAAGCCTGACTCCTTCCTGGGTGGAATGATCCTTAGTAAGTAACTTAAGCTAGGAAGCTTAATTTTCTTCATCCTTAAAATAGAGATCAATACTGCCAGTATTTGAAGGGCAGTTGTGAAGAGGATATGTGGATATGATTCGTTCCACACCTTCATCAAGGAAGCATCATCCATTTATATATGGGGATTGAACCCAGGGTCTTGTGCATGCCTCTGAGCTCTTCCTGACTTAACCTTGTCTTTTATGCAGAGGCTTAGAGAAGTTTGGGTCAGAGAACGAGGGGCGGAGGATCGCTCGGTGACACAGCCTGCTGGTCCCAAAAGTGGTTGGTGCCCCTTTAGCCGCTAGTGAACTGCCAAGCAAGCCTGGGACATTCTGATTCAGCAGCTCTGGGAGGGGCCCCGGAATCCTAACTACCAATCCGATTTTGATGATCTCGGTGGACAGGTGATTTTGGGAGCCATCCTGTTCTGTCAGGGGCAGAGCTGGTCACTTCTGTCACTGCCGCTTTCTCACTTAGAGCAGTGGCTCTCCACCTTCCTAGCGAGGCAGGCGACTCTTGAGTACAGTTCCTGTGTTGTGGTGACCTCCCCAACCATAAAATTATTTTGTTGCTACTTCATGACTGTGATTTCGTTACTGTTAGGAATTGTAACATTATATACCTGATATGCAGGATATCTGTCTGATACGGGACTCCTGTAGGGGTCATTACCCACAGGTTGAGAACCACTGACTGAGACTATGCCATAGGCGACGTGGTCCTTCTGGCAGGAACTCAGCGCAGGAGGGACTGTTGGACTAATGAATGCTTCTGAAGCAGCTGGGTAGGCCCCACCCTTTAGAGACCTGTCCCATGCCCTAGGAGGGATCTAGGTCCTCCTAAGGCTAAGAGCACAGGGTAGAGGAGACGACAGCCAGGCCTCTTGTTGGGCTGCACAGTAAATGAACAGGTGTGGCTTGGGTTTCCTGACCGGGACGGGGAGATCTGCTATAGGCTGATGAGCTTGTCCATCACATTCCCTAGGACACGGACCCAGTAGGGGGCTGACCCGTGTGTGCCACCTGTTGACAGGGCTTTCCGTGTCCTAAGCTGAGCCTCGAGGTGTCAGGTGCTCTGCCCTGCTGCAGCTGTCCCAGGTGAACCCTCTGCTGGCTGGCAGCCACGGTCAGTGCTTCCTTACTACACACTCTGGGGCCTCCCTTGCGGGGGAAACTAGTTGATTACAGAGGTAACGTTCCTGGTATTGCATCCCAAATGATAAGGACATGGATGATAGGGAGATAGTGCTGGAAGACATGGGAAGAAATGTGTTGGCACACACCTGTCATCCCAGGACTTGGAAGACCGATGCAGAAGGATCTCTCTGTGAGTTTAAGGCCAGCTTGGTCTACATAGTGAGTTTCAGGCCAGTGAGACCTCGTCTCAAAGACGGGTGAACATGAACATATGAAAAGAAAGGAAACCAGTAAGGGGAAAAGAAAGTGTGAAGCCTGAGGAAGAGAGGGGCCAAGAAGGACATATGTAAGGCCAGCGAAGTCAGATTTGGATGGCAGGCCTGGGGTGTGTGGCTTAGATTGCTTGCCTGGAACGTGCAAGGCCCTAGGTGACAGCTTCGGGTGACAATGAGGAAGTGAGTAGGCAGATGATCCTTGCCATTGTTTTGCTGTGGTTGTGACATCCGTGTGACATGGCATCCTTGTGACATGGCATCCTTGTGACATGGCATCCTTGATCACCCTGTTTGGTTAAACGAGTTCCTGGCCTGGGTAGGAAACCCGACCAATAAAGTAGGAAGTTTTGGGCTTGCATTCCCAGCCAGGGGTTCCCAGCAGTGAGATCCCAGGGATTGTGGGGTGTGTGCACATGACTCACCTGACCGCAAGACTTCCCAGGTTTACAGCCCTGAATACCGGTTCCTTTTCACTTACACACCTATCACCACTTAGCGACCACACCCTACAGTCTCCCTGCCCTCTGCTTTCTCCACCGCCTGGCAAGGGCTGCCACTCATACCCTCTCCCCTCTGATCGCCTCCCCCCTGCTGCGGCGGCGTTTCCTAGGAGCCAGAGTCCTCTGCGATCGGCTGACAAATCCTCCCTGGGCTCTCGTACAAAGCCCTTTTCCTGTCTGTGTCTCAGATTTCTGACCTATAAAGTGAACCTCGGGCTCACTCCTTGCCGCGTGGAGCTGTGAATGAGGTCTGTTTCTTGTCAGATGAGAGATGCCACAGTGAGATCCACACAGTCCCTTCTCTCTCTCTTTCACTCTACCTGCCCTCCTGCCCCAAGGCCTGCCTCTCCCCTCTTACTATTTACCATATAGATAAGAAAGTCGTGTAGGTCTGTGAACCCCGAGGACCTCACTTTGCAGATCCACCAGCCTCTTACAATCTTCATCTCGCCCACTCCTACCCTAGTGGAAACTGCGGAACACCTCCTTCCATCCTTGAAGAAGCAGAAATGTAACACGTGCTCAGGGAAAAGGAAATTCAGCCTGGGGTGTAGCGCTTGCGTAGGTGGTCAAGGTGTTCTGAGTTCTGTCTGCAGCACCGTAGAAAGAGAAAAGAAAACCTAACATTATAGACTAGAGTTTAGGTTAGCCATAAAAGCCTCTCATTTCTGCCGGGTGGCAGTGGTGCACGCCTTTAATCCCAGCATTTGGGAGGCAGAGGCAGGCAGAGCTCTGTTCGAGGCCAGCCTGGTCTACAGAGCAAGTTCCAGGACAGCCAGGGCTACATACAGAGAAACCCAGTTTTGAAAAAGCAAACAAGCAAAGAGCCGCTCATTTCACACACCAAGCACAGTGGGAGCAGCCATGGCCGACAGTCCTGTGTCGGAGCTGTTTACTGTGGCAGCTGATGGTGGCCTAGACGGTGTGCAGCAGAGTTGACCATGCAGGGCGCGGAGCACCAGGTGCTGGTGGGTGCAGTGAAGAGCCTCAGGCTCTGGGTGAGGTCACTGAGGCCGAGCTTCCTTCCACCAAGTGCTGGGAGCTGACGACTGGGGATGAGGAGACTGCCCGGGAGGGCAGCCATGAGGCCCATGTGTTTAGAAGCATCCCTCTTGAAGGCTTGGTGCAGAGGGAGCTTATGCAACTGTCCAGATGAGCAAGATGGCCTTCTTCAGCAAGGCCATGTCCAACCCGTGGATCCAAGTGGACAAGAGCGCAGTCCACGGGCCCTGGGTGTTCCAAGTGGTGGACAGCGTAGAGGATGAAATACAGAGGCAGTTATCGCTGGTCCAGGCAGGCCGGCCTGAGAGGCTGGCTGAAAAGGAATGAGCTCAGGAAGAGGAAGCTGCTGACCGAAGTGATCCTGAAAACCTACTGGGTGAGCCAGGGCGGGGCCTTCAGGGCAAGTGCGGCCAAGGCCAAGCGGGAGGCAGAGCTGAGCCCAGAGATGATCTCCAGTGGCTCCTGGAGGGACCGGCCCTTCAGGCCCTACAGCTTCTCTGCCCGAGGTGTGCTCTCAGAGCGTGGCCACCTTCTCCCCTTGCTCACGGTCCTCTCCCAGTTCTGGCAGATCTTCCCGGAGATGGGGTTCTCTGAGATGCCTACAGACAACTTCAGTGAGAGCTCCCTCTGGAACCTGGATGAGCTCTCCCAGCCTCAGCAGCACCCAGTGCGTGACCAATATGACACATTCTTCCCGCGAGAGCTGGCTGAGTCCTTGTAGCTCCTAATGGACTATGTCCATCGGGTGAACCGGACCCACTCCCAGGGCAGCTGTGGCTCACAGGGCTGCAAGTACCTGGAAGGTAGATGAGGCTGGGAAAAATCCGCTCCACACATACCACAGAAGCCAGCGCCTGCACCCTTTGCTACTTAACCCAGAAGAAACCCTCCACACCAGCAAGCACTTCTCCACTGATCGTGTGTTCCAGAATGACATGCTGGACGCCATGCACCTGGCCAACTTCTACCAGATCAAGGGGTGTGAGAGCCGACCACGGGATCACCCTGGGTCACCTCATGGGTGTGCTGAGGGAGTTCTTCACCAAGCTGGCGATCACCCAGGTGTGCCTCAAGCCAGCCCACCACTCTTACTAGAGCCCAGCATGGAGGTGCTCAGCTACCACCAACGTCTAAAGAAGTTGGGTAGAAGTTGGCAACTCTGGGGTCTTTTGCCCTGAGATGCTCCTGCCCATGGGGCTCCCTGAGAATGTATCTGTTATGGTTCAATAATCCTGCTGCTCATTGAGAGAGGGAGGGAGGAGAGGTGGCTAGTCTGCCCTAGAGAGCCTAAGGTTTGCCTGGGGAGAGAAGCCAAGCTCTACCCAGTGGAGTTGAAGTGGAGATGCTGAGCCCAGGGGCAGGCCTTAGGGACAGTGTATTAGGAAGGCCCAAGAAGGGAGCCCAGGGGAGGATGTGGAATTGTACAGCTGGGTAGTAGGAGAAGAAGGAAACTGTGGACCAGCTTCTCTGGGCTCCCATAGGCTACTTGGAAGCATGGCCTCATCTGCTCGCTCTTCCCCAGGTCTCCACTGACAGGTTGTGATTCAGTCTGCCTCAGTGTTTCTCAGGACGTTTTTCCCATGCTCCTTTCTGTAGTGCCTTGTGAGGCCCAGTTTCAGGCGGGAACACCTAAGCTGAGGAAGACAATGTGAGCCTCAAAAGTAGCAAAGCTCAGCGTCAGACTCGGTCTCTGGTGCCAGTGCCCACCCTCTGAGTCAGGGCTCTTTCTCTGGGGCGTTGGTCAGCCTCGTTAGGCCACTCAGGGATGATCATTAGGTGTGGCCCATTTCTTTATGCTCCTGAATATTTTGTCAGAATGACATTACAAACTGCCTCCTGTTGTTCAGTGGCGCAAACCTGAAAGTTGAGCAGGCAGCTTTCAGAGGGTGAGATTTTTATTTCACATCCCGCTATAAGCAGAGTTAGTTAATGTGAAAAAACTACAGGAAGATGAAGTGACCACACAAGGCCAAGCTTGTTTGTTTGTTTGTTTGTTTGTTTAACACAACAGACTGAATTAATTTTATTAATATGCACAACAAATTATTGAATGGTGACTTCATGATGCTTTCCTCTTAAAGATGGTACAAAAATGCTGAGATGTCTACATACTTGAGAGGCTTGCTTGACAAGATTCTTCAGCGGCAGTTTGATAGGAGGTTTCATCGTCTAGGTGGGGAGGACGTGCTGACAGGCTGCTGTCCACACCGGTGGTATTTTGAGCACCTCCTGACAAACGGGGCAGTAGAGATCATCTTTCATGCAGGATGGGGCCACCAAGAGCTCCTCTGTGAGGAGGAGCTGGACAAAGTGATGTCTGCAGCAGAGGCTGAAGTGGTGGAGGTGGTGGCCCTGAGCCTGACTCCCTGAGGACACCCAGAGCGGGAAGGACAAGGCCAAATGTAAGAAAACAAAATAGTGCTCCCATCCCACCGAGGGAAGGATGGTAATCCTCCTCCTCTTCCCCTTTCTCCTATCCCCTTAGCCATAAGCTGGGGGAGACAGTCTCCGATACCCCCGTCCCTTTTTATAGAGAGGTCTTCCCATCTCATGGATAGGAAGTCTTGATTTTGTAAAGTATGTAGCAGACTGAAAGTTGTGAGGAAGAAAAAAAAATGTCAAGAAAAGGAAGGAAAGAAAGGCAGGGAAAGGGATGAGTCTGGGAAGGGAAACAGTACAGGAGGAGAGGACTCTAGAGAAGGGGCAGTGGCCTCTGGGCTGGGAGCTCTGACACTCACAGCCACCCAGAAGCTGCCAGAAGGCCTCGGTGGGGATTAGGGGTATGCCAGTTCCAGCTGAGGAATCATGGCAGTGGGAAGGGAAGGGTGGTCTGCTGCCCTCACAGTAGACGTGATGTGTGCCTGCTCTGTGCGTTCCCCTCTGTGCCAAGTATGAGCTGATGGAGCTGTGCACCTGATGTGTGCATAGGCAGGAATGGAGTTCAGACTGTTGATGCTAAGTCAGTTTTCCAGATCCCTGTTTTTGGAAACTAGTAAGCAGAGTGGTGTAGATATAATTCTAAATGGTCTTATTAAATAAGAAACATAGAGCCAAATAAAGAGTTTAAAGCCTAGAGATCGAGCAGCAGCCGAGAGCTAAGACCACCTATCTTACCACTCGCTGCCGTCCTTCCCCTGACAGAGAGACCTTCTTCCTGTGTCCTGTCTTTTTATTGCCTTTCTGTTCTGCCTTCTCATTGGTTCTAAACTCATCCACATGACTTCTACATCACTACCTGTCTATACAGACCTCCAGGTCTCTATGGTTGGTACTGGGATTAAAGGCGTGTGTGTGACCATGCTGGCTGTGTCCTTGACCACACAGAGACTTTGCCTGCCATGTGATCGGATTAAGGGCGTGTGCTACCACTACCAGACTTCTGCTTAATGGCTTGCCCTTAGCTCTGATCCCCAGGCAACTTTATTAACATACAAATAAAATCACATTTCAGCACAAATAAAATATCACCATAGAGCAGGTTTGAAATGGGGTCCCCTCTTCCCCTAACCTCAAATCACACATTAGAAAGTGTATCATTTTCCTGTTGATTCCTATCACATCCTGTAAAGGGATGACAGGTCACTAGACAGGAAGCAGGTCACTCCATGGCCAGAAAAGATGGCAGCAAGGGTGCCAGAGCAAATGGAGGTCTGATTTCTAGATCTACAGTTTCATCTGCCTAGAACCCCAGGTCATCAAGAGAGGGCCCACCCAGGTGCATGTGACATCTACCACGCAAGCTGCCTTCCTCTTTGAACTCCCCTCTCTTCTAATTACTGCATAGCTGTTGTTTACTTACTAGTTTATATGTATTAATTTATATCTGGTGCATATAAATCTATCACAGAAGTGCTAAATTTAACCAATTAGCATATTTGTGACTTCACACCATTTTGTGTGTGTGTGTGTGTGTGTGTGTG